AATTTATTTTTTTTGTTGTTGTTGAAAATGTACACAGCAAAACATACACCAATTCGACAGCTTCTACATGTACAATTCAGTGACATTAATTACATTCTTCAAGTTGTGCAATCATTCTCACCCTCCTTTTCCAAATTATTCCTCCATGATTAACGTGAACTCACTGCCCCCTAAGTTTGTCCTCTAACCTTTGAAGTTGCTGTTGTCAATTTGATCCCATATACATAGTTCTTTAAAAGAGCAAAATGCTCAAGGCAGACGTTCTTTACTAAGTTAAATTACTGTTTGATTTAAAGAAGACCTCAGGGGATATTTTTGGTTTAAGGTTTAATGATTATCTCGGGTTAACAGTTTTGGGGGTTCATCCAGCCTCTACGGCTCCAGAAAGTCTGCATTCCACAAGAACTGTCAAATGCTTTTCATTCGGCAACTGGAGATGGCTATATGATTTTTCTCCTTAGGTCTATCAGCAAGACAAATTATACAAAAAGATTTCTTAATATTGAGCCATTTTTTCATTCCTGGAATAAACTCTTTCTTGATCATGATGTTATTATTCAACCAATGTGTTTAAGATTTTTACTTCTAAAGTCTAAAGTAAACTTAGGTCTATAGTTTTCTTCTTTTGTGCACTTTTTGTCAGGTTTTGGTATCAATGTTACCATTTGTTTCATGGAGTTTTCCTATGCTCTGAAATAGTTTCAACAGTAGCACTGGAATTATTAGTTCTTTAAGGATTTTGTAGAATTCTCCTGTGAAACATCTGGGCCTGGTGCTTTTTGGGGAAGTGACTCCTTTTCTATGTTTCTTCTATGGAAATTGATCTGTTTGAATTTTTTCTATCTTCTGGGGTCATTTTTTGTAAATTATAGTTTCCTGTGATAATCCTTTATTTTTATACAGATTTTCTAATTTATTTGTGTAGACTTGAATAGTGTATACTTATGATTCTTTTAATTTTTGTCACTTATTTATTTTTATTTGCCCCTTATTTGTATTATGCATATTATGCATTATGTATATATGTACACACACATATACATACCTAAGTCTCTGCCTAACCCCCCTTTTTAAAAAATATATTAGCTTAGCTAGTGGTTTATCTGTTTCACTGATTTTTTTCAAAGAATCAACTTTTGGATTTATTAGTTCTGATCTTTTGTTTTCTAATTCATTAATTTCTGCTTTTATTTTTATTAATTTCTACCTTCTATCTTCTTTTGATTTAGTTTGTTCTTCTAACTTTTGAGTTAAATACTTAACTCGCTCATTTTTATTCTCTCTTCTTTATTGATATAAGTATTTAAGGCTTTAAATTTTCCCCAGGCACTGCTTTTGCTATAGCCCATAGATTCCTAGCATTTTCATTTTTGTGGTCATCCATACATTCTACAATTTTCATTTGCATTTCTCCATTGATCAAAGAGTTGTTTATGAATTTTTTTAAATATCCAATTGGAGTGGCCTTTATATTTACTGCATTGTGATTTTTCTGTACTATTTCTACTTTTTGAAATATACTGTTTTACATAAATAATGCACGTTATATGTTTTCTGCCAACTGCGTAACCCCCTTGCACATTATTATCTAGTGCTGCTGTAACAGAAATACAAGTGGATGGCTTTAAGAAAGAGAAATTTATTCTCTCACAGTCTAGGAGGCTAGAAGTCTGAATTCAGGGTGCCAGCTCCAGGCAAAGGCTTTCTTTCTCTGTTGGCTCTGGGGGGAGGTCCTTGCCATCAATCTTCCCTGGTCAAGGAGCTTCTTAGTGCAGTGACCCCAGGTCCAAAGGACACACTATGCTCCAGGTGCTTCTTTCTTGGTGGTATGAGGTCCCCCTGTCTCTCTACTCCCTGTTCTCTTTTATATCTCAAAAGAGATTGGCTTAAAACACAATCTAATCTTGTAGACTGAGTCCTGCCTCATTAACATAAGTGCCGCTAATCCCACCTCATTAACATCATAGAGACAGGATTTACAACACATAGGAAAATCACATCAGATGACAGAATGGTAGACAATCACACAATACCAGGAATCATGGCCTAGCCAAGCGGACACATATTTTTGGGGGACACAATTCAATCCATGACAGTGCGCTATGTGCGTTATATGTGTGGGCACGTTATTTACATGGACACGTTATTTGCAAAAAAATATAGTATTGCTATTTTCTTTGGGGCTGAATATGCAGTGAGTTTTTGTGAATGTTCCATGCGGCCTGAAAAGGGATGCTCTGTATTTTAAGGATCTAGAGTTCAACATATATTAATCAAATCTACTTTATTGATTTTATTGTTTACATCATCTATATTCTTTTTTGTCCACTTGATGTGTCTTGGACCATGAACAGTGAATTAAAGTCTTCGACTACTAATGCATTTGTGTCTGCTTCTCCTGGTATCTCCTAAAATTTCTGCTTTCTTTTTTATGAAAGTTACTTTGTTATTTACTACATATCTATTTAGTACACAGATATTCATAATGTTAAATGTTCACTGTCAAATACATACTTTAGTTTTATGAAGTATCCTTGTCTCAAGTAATGCCTTTTGGCCTGAATTCCACCTTGTCTCATTTTCAGATCAATACCCTGGCTTTCTTTTTATTGGCATTTACATGTATACTTTTGCCTTTTTAACTTTTAGAGACTTTGTTTTCATTGTCTATATGGAATATGGCATATAATCAGATTTTGCTTGGTGATTCAATTTGAAAATCTTTTTAAAACGTTAGCTAAGGCCATTTATAACTTACTGATAATGACAGATATGCTTGGTCATAGTTCTAGCGTATTTTGCTATGTTTGGTTTTAGTTTTCTAAAAAGTTTCCATTGTCTTTTTGTGTGTGTGTGTGTGTGTGTGTGTGTGTTGGTATTTATAATTTTTCTGATATTTAGGATAATTTGTATTTTTTGTTCTAGTGGTTCTTTACAGTTCTATCTTTGTAAACCGTAATTTTACGTAATGCCCTTACCCCTTTATTTCTTTGCATAGTAACTACTGCTTCCCTACCATGAACCCTAATGAAATTAGTTTGCATAATCTTCTTACTGCCCCTCTTTTACTACACAATTATAGTCAACAGTATTATGTTTCTTAGTGTTTACCTTTGTACTCTTAAATATGCTTCTACTTCTACTAACTGATTTGTCAGCTTTAAATGATGTCCTCTGACTCCCAGCCACTAGGCAATCCACAGACTTATTCTACCCCCAACTTTCTTCGCACTCCTATTTCCCTTAATTTATTAGTTGCATTACCAATTCCTACATTAAGATATTTAACATTAATATGTTAGTCTTTCTTCCTTAGTCTCACTTTTGTTTTAGTCTCAGGCCTGTAGTTAAGTATACTCAATGCTCTCCAATAGTACTTTCTCCAGTTTCTCTAATCATCTCTACAGAATAAAGTTCATCTTCTAAACATTTCCTTAAGAAACTTAAGAGGGCCTTATATAAACAATAAGCAGCCCTGGTGGCACAGTGGTTAAAGCGGTCGGCTGCTAATCAAAAGGTCGGCAGTTCGAATCTACCAGATGCTTCGCGGGAGAAAGATGAGGCAGTCTCCTTCTGTAAAGATTTACAGCCTTGGAAACCCTACAGGGTCTCTATGAGTCAGAATCGACTCAATGCCAGTGGGTTTGGGTTTGGTAGATTAACAATATGCCTGTGTTCTTATATGTTCAAAACTGTATATAGCCTCTATACTTGAAGAACATTTTATAGAAGATAAAATTAAGGTAATGAAAGATCAAATTGCTTGTACGAGCTAGTCAAGTGCAAAGCCAAGATTTGAACTCAGAAGTTTATCTCCAGAATCCAAGCTCCTACTTGTTCCTTCCAACAAGTTTACGTATTAAATTTTCAATCATAGGAGAAATAGTAACATTTAGAATAAATAATTAATGGCAAGGTAATTACCATGCATGGTGAAATGAAAAGAGGAAATATATTTTAGAAATTGTGCTAGGTTAGGGAAAAATGGGATTAGGAGGTTATATCCTATGGTTAAAAGAATACTGAATCCTAGATATGAGAATTGACTCTGCTATTTATAAGCTATGATACCTCTGATACATTATTAAACGTCTCTGAGACTCAGTATCTACATTTTATAAAACGGCGATAAGAGTGACTACCTCATAGGATGTTGTATGGTTTAAATGAGATAATGAATTTTGAGGGCCACAGAATGCCTAGCATACAGGTTTATACTTATTTTAATATGTTAGTTATTTTTAAAAAAATTATTACCATGAGATTAATCAAGAAAACTTCATGTGTAGTTTCCTAAGATTATTCTGGGAAAAAAAAATTCCAGTATTCTAAGAAACAAAAAAGGAGTCTATTTTCTTTACATGAAATGTCCTCTTCTTTCTTCAGCCAAACTTTCTGACCTAGTCTTTAATAATTCACGTTCCAGTTCCTTCATGAAAATTGCTCTGATGATCCAATCCACACTGATCTAAATAACCTCTTAACTGTTTATATTTGCTTGTGCCAGACTTTAAAGATTTTATAATAATAAAGCATCTTACCCCATCTTAACTAAAAAATTTAGAACTTTCTGTTAGCACATATTGTTTATATATTTTTTAGTTGCCTCTTTTATCAACTGTTTTCTGTGCCGTCTTATCCCATTAATTAGGCAAAAATGTTTTTTTTCAATCAGGTGTCACAACTTTTACCCTTTCATGACTCAACTGTTTAGCATTGGGTGAGGTATGAATAAAGCTTTATTTGATTGATTTTGCATGCTTATATTTAAAGGAATAGAAACAGACTAATGAACTAGAAAGACCAGTTTTAGGTAAAACATTTCATTTTAAAATTCTTAACTTTTTGAAGGATCTCTTCCTATTTAAAAAATAGGAGAAAGTACT